TGCATGAATATGAAATTTTGTACGTACTATCTTCTCATTGCGGCACACCTATAAAAAAATATGAAAATTTTTTTTTGATAAAATATAATGACTAAAATACTCCTTGAAACTTTCAAGGGTATTTTAGTCATTTTATTTTATTGAAAATAATTTTTTTATATTTTTCACTAGTTCGAGTTTAATAGAGGATTGGACGCCTAAAATTTGGTGTCAAAATAGTTTATAGAAGAAAAAAAAAATAAAATAGTGTAGAGCCGTGACATTGTGATTAGAACAATCTTAACCCTCCATTCAAAATGGATGGTTGGATAAACGGAAGTATATAAGTTTTATGCTGTAGGAGAAACATAAAAAGCTTGCCCTTGGATGAATAGCAAAAGGACTTAAGCTACACTATGGAATCGACAGCGCCAAGAGAGCACCAAAGCTTGCAAAGAAGGAAATTCAAGGAAATTTTTACAAGGAAATAACCCTCGACTGAACAAAAAAAAAAAAAAGACATCGACGCTTCATCCCAATTTTAGTAGTTTAGCAACGTTTTGAAAATCACCGATTCGGATAAAAATCAGCAGCACACAAGCCTGATACCGTTGGGAATCACAGCCCCATTCTCCCTAATTTGTGATTTATCAAAACAAATTTGTTTCAAAAGTTATGTTAGTTTAATCATCAAATTTTGAATATGGATCTATACAACTTTTCTTATTTCTTCGATCATTTATTTATCTTTTTTCTTTCATTTTTTTTTTGCTAGAATGCCAATTGGGTTGATCAGGATCAGTACAATGGGTCGACGATCTAAGGGATGGTTCCAGGTTTTTAAACGCTGGTTTCAAGCAACTCAGTACTTGATAAACAACTTTAGGAACTTAAATTAAATAATCATTCTAACCAAATATGTCTCCAATTGATAGTAAAAACATAATAATAATTACCATAAATAAAGAAACCACATTCCTCAGCACCACTTTATCACAGTTTCTGAAGTCGGTTTTTGGAAGACACAAATTATACAAATTTTTAAATGGCCATGCTTTGCATGCGGCCTAGCCCACATATAGAAATACGGGTTTGGCAATAAATATATTTTTTAAATACAATGTGATCCTAAGTTTTAGAGAATATATAGAGATCATGAATATGAAAAAATAACTAAATTTAGAAACTAGAAATAATAATTATATTAAGAAAACATTTGAACAGAAAGTTAGTTACACCTATGTGCATCCATTTTTAAAATGGACGCTTTATACGTCTGAACCGCATTTGTCAAGCCTGCACGACGAAACAATTGTTCTTTTTAAATTCCTATGCCACTCCATTCAGCTTTTACTCTCACCCGCTGCTTCATTTCCCTGTTTCCACCAGTCCCATTCGACCATATCAGTCGATCTAACAAAAAAAACTCAAAAAACACCGGAGCCATTGTCCATTTGAATCAACCTCGGCCCACAAAGGCATAGGCTCTAACAGCATGACACACTAGACCTGATCTCCGGTGAGAAAAGCGAACCTTCGGGAAAATTATATTCCACCTCAATTATATTCAGCTTCCCCTTCTAAGATCCTCTTCTGAGATTTAGACTAAAATTTGAAGAACAGGCAATTTAGACTTAATTCCAATGCCATATCCCTAATGTCATGAAACCCCCTTCTAAGTTTGATTAACAGTAGAAACAAATGTCATATAGAAAAAGATTAAAAATAGGAAATGGCAACTACCTCCAAGGGCTTGAAAGTCCGTTGCACCTTGCATCAGTAAGGAATGAAGATCATACATCCATTCTTTTTTAATTGTTAAGATCATACATAAACTCTATGATATCCTCTACAATAAAGTCAGATGCCCTTTTGCCCCAAGAGTCCCTTGTTATGCACTCCCCAAAACCAAATGATTGCTAAGCCAGGGTGAGTCATTGATCTGGACATCTATGATCAACCAGTCGGCAGCCATAACATGAGCAAAGAGATCAAACAGTCCTGGTTCAAATTCCCATCACCCCCTTTCTCCACTCTCAATTTTCTTTGCTTCGATGAACCGACTTTGATTTTCCCATGGAGTCAATCATATCAATACCTCCGCCCTTCTCTCTCTACAACTTTTAATTTTGCTGAGGTTTTAAGCCTTTCGTTGTCTAGAAAGTACAGTTTCTCTCATGGGGCTCTTTCCTCATTAGAGCAAATTGGGGTCTTTTACATTTTTCTCCATTATGAAGACCCAACTATGGTTTTTTGATTGATGTAATTATATGCACATCAATATCATCTTCAATCTCTCCAAGTTCAAATTTTATCCACACCATTCTCCCTCTGGAAACTCCAATTTTAGGAATCAGATACGTCTTGGGTTCGATTAGCACCGATATGTCTTGGGTTCGATTCCTACTACTGACTTACCCAAAAAGTAAAAAAATGGAGGGGCGCTCCAACTTTCATTGAGGTTTCACGCCCTTATTGGTCAAGGAACCCTTCCAATTCACCTGGTTTTTTAGCCCTTAACTCACTCAAGTAAATTGGGTCATTTTTGCTGTGGCCATTGAAGAACACCCCTAAGAAGTATGGAGTCTTATAGGCTATGTAGAGGCATTACGCAATGCCCAAGCATTTTCCTGAGCCCCATTTACAGGTGACAGCCGAACCAACGGGCTTCCAAGGCTTCTTGGCTAATAGAACTCCCATCTCTAGATTTCTGAAGATTTTGATCGATCTGGGTTATTAATTAATTTCTGAAGATTTGATCGATTTTGGTTAATTGTTTCTTGAGCCCCCATTTTTTTAACAGCAGATGACAGTTGAACCAATAGGCCTCCAATGCTTCTTGGCTATATAAACTCCCGTCTCTAAATTCCAAAGATTTGATCGATCTGGGTTATTGATGATGCCTCTCTTCGACTTACTTTGAAAAAGTGTGGCGGCCGGTTGTTCTAGTTTCTTAGCCTGAGAATTGCCATTTCATGCAGGAAAGATATTGCGGATGAAATTTATCCCTTTGCTGGTTTTTGCTGGTTCATACTAGGTTGCAATTGTCCATACTGGGACATGAGAAAGAGAGCGAGATTGAATATAGTGTTTATTTATCGGACACAGATTCTATGAGTACCCGGACTCATATGTACCAATGTGGGTCCCCAAAAGATAACCATGGACCGAATTCACTGTCAGGCTCAGGTTGCCTATGAAGCATCCATCAAAGTTGAGTTCAATGACTATGGGAGGCAGTAGCAACAAGAAGTAGGATCTTTAAACAGTCATCAGATGGCAAATGAAAGATGCCCCAACAAAAAACTCATGGACCAACCAAAAAAGTCCTTTGGTTTTGGGCTCAACAGGTAACAGTGGCTTTCATCTTGGCCAAAAGGTCACACCAACTTTCATTATTCTCAAAAATGCACTTGTCATACTGCAGCAACATAATCCACATAGAAGCCAGTATGATGGGCTAGTGCCGCAACATAATCGAAATAGAAGCCAGTATGGTGGGCTAGTGAAAAGGAAAAGATCAGCAATAGGGGATGGTGGAGAGAAATAGGCCAAGAAGTGCTGTTGTACATTTCTGGGCAAAACCCACAACCATTCACAAAGACCCATTCATAAACAAGTTTCCTCCTCTCCTTTGCGCAGGACAAAACGGTTAGGAATGAAATCACTCCTATGAATCTGGTCTGTGGTCAAAGCTTTCTTGAAAATAACCAGCCAATGAACCGTTGGATCTTTGGTGGAATAGGGATAGACTAGTGCTTGTTTGCTGTGACAGGCGTTTTTGTTGAGGGTGTTCAAATTATTGTACATAGAGGGGACCGAGAACTTCACAAGGCAGTGGAAATGAAATATTTTCATCTGAGGCCAGGGTGAATAAGCTAGAGCAAGGGCCTTCTAAAGTGGAGCCCCAGCATATGTCCCGCCACAGCCTATCGTGCTCCAGAGTTTTCACAACAAACAGAGTTTCCCTGATAAAATCACCACAAGTGGTGACAATACCCTTCCAGGCCCCAGAGGAAGGGTATAAGTTGTAGATATATATCCATTGAATCATTTAAAACACTTCTAAATTTGACTGATTTGAGCAGTGTTTTCTATAGGCACTCTGAATTTTCAGACTACTAATAATACCAAAACAAACCAAAATATCAGATGTGATCGTCCTAGCATTAGAAACAGAAGTGTCACTTCAGAAGTACACAAGATACTTAAAATTTATCAAAAACTCACCATTAGTAGCATAACACATCAAATTAATAAACATATGGTCTAAATTTCCTAAACAAAGATTAAAAGAACCTCAATGAAACCCATGCCATCAAGCTGCATTTCAGAAGGAATAATAAATAATAACTGATAACAGCAGCCCCACAATGACATACTAACCATCATCGTGAAATTCCAGAACCAAGACTAGGCACGATGCCAGACCGAGAAGAACGCAGCTCAAAAATTCAAAAGAATTGAAGTAACACGTTTCTATATCCAAATATTTATAGATGAAAGGAATCAAGAGTAGCCCGATTAGAAGGTAATCTACAGAATCAAAATCCAGAGCTTTCTGACAAGTTTAAAAGCCTTTTTCCATTTTCTCAAGCCCATTGCTTGCAAATTTTGATTCACATGACATCAATGGGTGGTTTCATGAAGATATAGATTGCCTTTGGAGATTGACAAATATCAGAGAGGATTAATCTCCCCAAAAGAGGAGAAGGGATAACTATCTCTTACTCTCCTGTAGTCAGAGAAGCCCATAATGTCACAGATTGCCTCATGAGGAAGTTCTAGGGACTCTCTCTATTCTTTTTTGGTAGAATGTATAATGCAACTTGACACAACCATCTACCTAATTGTTCTATCTATATATAAAAAAAGAGAGAGAAAGATAGAGAGAGTGAGAGAGAAAAGAGAAGCACCTCGGCAGAACAGGAAAGTCTCGAGATTAAAACCTGAGAATTCCAAGTCAAGATGTTTCACTCGAAAAGGGCTCAAGCTCAAAATAAACAAGTATGATCGCAAAGTTCGGAATCATCATGCCACAGGCGATGCTTAAAAGAATACTATCGCAACGTCAATCACTGTGTTTTCCAGTAAGATATATCCAAGCCAGAAAAAAAAAAGGGCAATTTTCCAATTTCTAAATAGAGTCGAGGCATTTACTGGCAATTTATCTTAACCAACAAAAGTCACATACAATGCCCCATAATTCCATTAAACATCTAGGTCCAGAAAAAAAAAGCCCTTAAAAAACCAATAAAAAAGTAAACAAAAATTCATGTTCTTGAATTTACTTCTCGGACGAATTGGGTCCCCTCTTCTTCCCGAACCCAACCACTGCAAGCAAAATAACACAAACAATTCAAAACCAAATGACATAAACGTAAAACTAAATCAACTCAAGAAAAAGAACAAACAAAATAAAACCCATAATTTCGTCCCAAAAAAATTGCCTCACAAATTTTAAAAAATTGTAAACAAAGATTGCTTACCTGCTGTTACAAAACGTCGATTGTATTGCATGCGCTTGTGAGCACGCCCTCTCGGCTTCTTCTTCTTATCCTGTTTCGCAACCTTCGGGGTTTGGCCCCTCACCTTCCCAGCACGTGCCAGTGATCCGTGAACCTTACCTGAAAACACAAACTGTACACTTAGAGAGAGTGCAATATTAAAGAGAGAGAGATATAATGTAGCAGACAGTAATACTGGTTCTGTACACAAAGAAGAGAGAGAGGGAGCATATAAAGGGAACATGGCATGCAAAGGCATAGCAAAACCACGGTATGGCGCGTTCAGTATGACAAACAACAGGACCATCTTTGGGGTTTGGCAACTGGAAGTAATGGAGATTAGGGTTTATTTCATAATCTACAGTTGCAATCGTAGAATTATAAGAGAGAGAGAGAGACGGTACCCATGGTTGTGTGAAAACGATCAAGCTCTTCTTCTTTATGGTTCTCGAATGATACAGGGGAGGGCCAAAAATTAGGGTTTCACATTCACGCGAGGCGCAAGACCCTGCTCATTATATAGGGAAATGTACAGAAAAAACCTTTAATTCGTTTACAAATGGAAAATTATTTCATGCGGGCTGGACCGCATTTCTACATATGCAGTCACGAAAGTGTAAAGCGTCCATCTTAAAGATAGTATCAAGTAGGTGTTCCATCTAAAAATAATGAAAACTAAAGGTCCAAATGTTTTCTTACTATAATTGTTACTTTTATTGTTTAAAAGTTATTTATTTTTTCATATTCATGATCTCTATGTTAGGGATTACATATACTTAAAAATTAAGTCCGAAAGTCTATCTCAAAATAAGATTTATTTAAAGGCCCAAATTTCTACATATGCGGGTTTGGCCGCATAGAAACCGGGTTTCTATATGGCCAAACTCGTATATGTAGAAATACGGGCCTCTTAATAAATCTATTTTTTAGATAAAACACTTACTTGCATCCATTTTTGAACCGCATAAGTAGAAATGCAGTCGAGCCCACATGAAACAATTTTCCATTGAAAAAAACTTTATATACTTCATTGAGCACGTGTGCGTGCTCCCTCATGAGCATAGTTTACTTATGCTCCTTGGGTTAGATTATCTATTTTGAAGGATTTTGTAATTTGAAATTTTGGGAACCACTCCTTAATTACTATAGATTTATTCTTAAAAAATAAATATAGAATTTGAATTTTTTAACACTTAGATTTTATCATGTAAAAATTGGATGATCTCTATTCAATCTCTAGACTCTTTTTTTTTTTCAAGTGCACAAATGATAAAGTTATGGTTTTTTTTTTTTTAAGGATATGATCTCGAGCATAGTGTATTTTGTTTTATAAGTTAAAATATTTGTATGAGTATTTTGGCTATTTATTATCTTTTATTTTTTTGAAAATTTTTTAGGTGTTTGGTTGTTGGAAATATGGACATACTAAATTTGAACGTAATCTGATGTATCAAATAACGGTTAATTAAAATTATATTTTATGCTTTCAAAAGTGTAACTTAAATGTAAATAATAAAATATATGAGACTATATTTTAATTTTATTATATATATATATATATATATATATATATATATAAAGAGAGAGAGAAAAAATCTTCATATTTCAAATGGGTTGGTTGTGAAAGTGTCATTGATTAGAATCACAGTTACAAATAAAAAAAAAATTATCGAACATTGTGACTCACCTCCAAACCATCCAATTTGACATCTAGTCGCTAGGAGTAATTGTGACCTCATTGTAACAAAGATAAATTGTCTCATGGTATGCAATACAATCCTCCTTAACTAGTATTACTAGTGAACTATGTCACAATTTCTCACGATTAAAAATGTCATTTACATTGCTCGATCAATCATGGTATTTAGAGGCACAAATCTGAGATTCCAATCTCACTGTAACCTATCTTCAGTCATAGTTTTCATTCTATCGTCTTACCCACTTTCAATACTTAAAACTTGATTTCTATAAAATTTATTGATGCATAGATGCTAAACCTACTTACCTAATGCTCACGATGCCTTCAAACCTCCCATTCGCAGGCCTTCTCAAGCTCTGAGCAATAGCTTACTCCAAGGTAGTAGCTACTCTCACTGTGGTTCTAGAGAGAGAAAGCGTGAGGGCAATCTATCTTTGTTAGATATATTTGTTTGACCCCAATGTTAAAATATACACTTTATTGATTTTTATGAATAATAATAAATAAATAATAATAATAAATAAAATTGAAAACACACTGTAGATATTTTTTTTAACTCAATTAACATAGGGCATCAATTTTGGTGAGATGCTTAGATCTAGGCTTTAGAATATTTTTCACTTTTCTAAATTTTTAGATGGCTTTATATCATTAGATGAGCAATGTTAAAAAATGAAAAAATAATTGTGAGTTCATACATGCCTAGATTTTGAAATTCACCAAATTGATGGTTCAGATTCATTGTTGGAGGGGGACTCATTTTGACCATATCTCGGATGCAAATTGAATTTTACATAATTGGGATGAAGTGTGTGCAATTTTTTGTGACTTACAAGTGCTACAAATATGATTTTTAAAATTGTGATTTGATTATATTACAATGACATGGTGATATGAAATCACTCTCCTATATCAAATGATGTAAATATCGTGGTACTCTTGTCATTATGTAAATGCCTATTTAGGTGTAAAATTATCAAAGTTCTTCTAATTATTAAATCTTCCCAATATTGAACATGGGCAAATTGGGGATGTATTAACATTTTTTTAAGACTTGCCTACTTGAAATAAAAATTTAAAAGTAAACTCTTAAATATAATTTGTGATCATTTGACCCTATGATTTTGTAACATATTTTGCATGACGAAATATGCAAATTACTTAGAATTATGTAATTTGAAGGGAAACATCTTCAAGTTTGAAACTTGCCATTAGTGAAAAGACTGCAACGGATATCTTAGGCTTTAGATTTAATTTGATCAAAAGAAATCTTGGTAATTTATAGCTTGGATTAATTCCAGCAAAAAATCTAATTGTTTGAAGAAAAAAGTTACCAAATACAATATTCTCGTACTCGTGAAACTTACATAGACTCCTCCTATATTTGTAAAAATTTTCAAAAAATAAATAATCCAACATATATAGGATGCGCTTTCTTTAAGCACTGAGCTTCATGCAAACAAAGCAAAGCTTCACCTCAAATATTCTTTCAAAAAGCACTTTTGGTATTGAAAATCTCGAAGATGGCTTTAAATCAAATTCCAATACCGTTTATGAATTTTAAAGCTGAAAAATGGTACATATCATGTAGATTTATGGACACTATTTTTAAGGCAAAATTATAGTCTACATAATGTGTTACAATATTGTTTACAGCCAATTCCATTCTCTCGATTTTCCACTATAACCAAGTATACACTATTTTTAGGGTTTCAAATCCCAAAATTTTTCACAACTATAATGGTCAAAGCCGAGATGATTGATCTAAAGGTTTTGCATATCCATAACTGCAATTTTCAGCGAGTTTTGAGGTAAGGATTTATTTATTTTGATAGGATGCAGCCCTATGAACATATTTTTGACGACACAATTCCTTTCTTAACCTCCATTAAAAAATGAGTCAATAGGAGGTCGATCATCAAAACATAAACATGACTTGAATGGTTGGTCCATCTCTCTCCTTCACGGTTAAATCCGACGGTAATGATATGACAACATCCCATAATGTTAATGACGATCACAGTACGCTTCTCCTTTTTAACTGCATGATTGCCACTCCAAAGAGCCAGAATTACTCTCGAACCATTTAGCAGCAGAGCTAACAAGAAGATGCATAGAGCTTATTAATCAGCAGCCACAATTGGTTTCCATTGCTAAACAACTCACCATTGTTAGAAAAACTGGGTGATCCAACCACTAACCGTCCGGTTAGAAGTGGTGGTTCTGGTTTTGGGCGGTTTTGGTGATCGATCGGTATTTAAAAATAAAAAAATAAAAAAAATGTATTTAAATTCTAAAAAATAAGAAAATTGGTTTGAAATGCATCTTTTAATATTCTTACATTATGGTAAAGATTAAAAACTGTTTTTGTCATTAATACCCACTTTAATTCAAAATTTGATTTGTTAAAATCTAGTTTTTCATTAATTTTCAATTTCTTTTGAATGTGTTTGGTTTAAATCATTCTTTATATGTTTTTCATATTTTAGTAGATATATACATTTTTTTTGTATTTCCAACACTTTTTGACCGCCCGGTTAGAAGTGGCAGGTTTTAGTTTTGGGCAGTTTTGGTGATCGACAGGTATTTAAAAAAAAAAATCAAAAAAATAATTTAAAATTCTAAAAAATAAGAAAATTGGTTTGAAATGCATCTTTTAATATTCTTTACATTATGGAAAAAATTTAAAATTGTTTTTGTCATTAATACCCACTTTAATTTAAAAATTAATTTGTTAAAATCTATTTTTTTCATTAATTTTCAATTTCATTCGAATGTGTTCGGTTAAAATCATTCTTTATATGTTTTTCATATTTTAGTAGATATTTTTTTTTTTTGTATTTCCAATACTTTTTGACCGCCCGGGACTTGCCCAGTTAGAACGGTTTAACCGACAGGTTTACCGGTTAGACCGATTAAACTGCTTCTGGGCTCATGTCCGGTTAATTGTTCCGGTTCGATCCAACGAACACTGCAGCTGACCTGTGGCCGCTTCTCTCTCAAATTTCATTGCTCACGGTCCATGTCATTTTCAGAAGAGGTTTCCTTGGTTTCTGCAAAAGAAGCTCCCCCTGCTTCTCCTCCTCCTTATCCTTCTTTCTGGTGAGAGGTTCATTGGCGTATCTCTCTGTAACTATGCCGAGGTTTGTTTGAAATCATATTTACGATTGCTTGATGCTTTGTTATCATGATTTAGCTGCTTTCATATGAGCAATGAAATGCTTGATTGTTGTTATTGGTACTTGTGGTTTTGATTGTGAATTTTAGTTATAGTTTTTCTTGTGTTTTCTCATTGTTTATTTTGTTGAAGAGTCTGCATTATTGAATAGGATCTTGATCATTCTGCTATCAACATTGTTCGATTTGAAAGCTTCTATTTTCATTCAAGATGATGATGATGATAATGATGATGATAATAATAAACCACTTAGAGATCGACTTAGAGGTCACATAAGGGAACACTTATCTATGGAAGGTTTTCGGGATGCCTTTTGTATTTGTTTTGGTAGTAATGGAGTACGTTCTTTTTGTTGGAAGATCAAGCTCATGTCTCTTAGGTGAAGATTATTTGAAAGTTAGAACTCATGACGTCGTGTTGTGCCACCCAAACCACCTGTGCTTTGAACTCATGACATCGTGTTGTGCCACCCAAACTACCTATGCTTTGAGCCCATTCCTATGCACTTTACTTCTATAGTATAAAGTCATAACCTTATAAAAACTTTTTTCCTTAAGATACGGTCTGGCTTATATAAGCCACGTACTTTAACCATCAAAGTACATCTTCAAACCCTTTTGTAATAAGACTTAAAATATGTTTTTACTCCTAATTATGGAATTTAAAATTAAAAAAAGATACAAATAAAATACTGAAACAGAGGTCCCAATAATATATTATAATAATAAACTTTTTTTTTTCTTCTCATATCCATATGTTTCGAGGTTGAGATGATCAAATAGGTAGTTTTCCAATATCGAAACAACATTTTCTACTTATTTTTGAGGTGTCCCTCACTTCTATAGCATACACCTTAGATTGATTGTTTTGATATCTAAAATTTCCCCCATAAAAGAATCAATATCCAAGGAAAAGATTTTTATAAGGGCGAGGCCCAAAACAATCAAATTAATGTGCACCTCAAAATTTTCACTAAAAGAAGTTGTTTGGATACCAAAAAATCCTCAAATTGGTCATCTCGAGCTCAAGATGCATGAACATGAGAAAAAATGGATTTTCAATATTGAACATAGTGCATCTTGTAATTTATTTTCGGATCGTTAATTTCCAAGATTTTAAAGTGTTCATAGATATGCTCAATCTACACTATTTTTGAAGGTTTAAATTTTATAATTAGAGATGAAAATAAAATTTCAGGCTATCATAAAAATTTCCAATATTGAAATAACATCTTTCAACACTATTTGACGGTGCGCCTTATGTTGATTGCTTAAAGCCTCTGCCTTATACAAACCACACTTAAAATCCAATACTTAAAATCCAATGCATATACTGAGCAAGTATCTATTTGTGAAGGATGGGTTTCTATGAGTTGGCCAACTCATAAGTACACATGTGGGCCCCCACTAAAATTCATTTAAATGATTTATTTATTTATTTTATTTTTATTTTTTTACATTCATCATCTAAGCCAAGGTGATCATAAACACGAAAAGAAAAATAAAATTTTAAATTAAAAGATAATTTTTTAGCTTTTTTTTATACACCGTTCATATCTTATTTATGGACAATATATTTTATATAACATCCATCTTTAGGGTAAATGTCTGTAAGTCATCGACTCTTGTGGCCGTTCACTCATGAAATAGTCCTTGGAATGGGGTTTCTAAGCCGACTCATATGTACATATGCAGCCCCCACTAAAATTAATTTTAGATATTTGTTTTTTTAATTTTTAATTTTTTTGTTTGTAGATTCCTCATCGATGATCATAAATATGGAAAGAAAAATAAAATTGTAAAATTTAAAATAGATTTTTTTTAGTATTTTTTTTATTAGGATGAGTGAGTGAATAGGAGGCGGACCATCCAAAACATAAACATGATTAAAATGGTTGGTCCAATCTCCCTCCAGCACCGTTAAATCCCATATTTGTCGTTTATGATCCTCATGATCATCGATGATCCTAAATATGAAAAGAAAAATAAATTTGTAAAATTTAAAATAGAATTTTTTTAGTATTTTTTTATGCACCTTTCATCTATGAACAATACACTTTATAACCGTCCATCTTTAGGATGAGTCAGTGAAAAAGAGGCGGACCATCCAAAACATAAACACGATTATAATGGTTGGTCCAATCTCCTTCCATCACCGTTAAATCTCATATTTGACGGTTATGATGCTCATGACTACAGCCCATGGTCATGAAGATCACAGTACACTTCTCCTGTTAATTACATGATTGCCATTCCAGAAGCAGAGTTAACAAGAAGCAGCTCAGAGCTTCTTTATCAATGGCGACCATTGGTTTCCATCGCTTAACAACTCGGCTATGGCCGCCTCCTCTTAGGTCTCCTCTCTCTCGACTTCATTGCGCTTGCTCCTTCTCATTTTCAGAGGAGGCTTCGTCAGTTTCTGCAAAAGAAGCTGCTTCTTCCTCTTCTCCATCTTTTTTCCCTAAAAGAGGCCAGCAATTGGAGCTTGTTTGTGAAACCCTAGCTTTTAAGGGGATAGGGGTGTGCAAGGTATTGGAAACTGGTTTTGTGGTGATGTGTAATGGTGCTCTTCCTGGTGAGAGGTTCATTGGGCGTGTCTCTCGAAAGAAGGGAAACTATGCTGAGGTTTGGTTGATATTATATTTTTAGTGTTTTATGATTTGTTATTATGAAGTAGTTACTTTAATGTGAGTAATGCAATGCTTGATTGCTGTTTATTTTTGGGTAATTCAGTGGGGTAGACAGGTCCCTACCCTTTTTTTCAATAGATTAGGGAGTTACATTTTGAAGGTGTTAATTGGAGGTTTCAGCGGTAGGAATGGATACCACGATGTGGTAACTGCCCATGGGGATGCTACCACCACGAGACCCCAGCCCCTTTCCTACTTGATTGCTGTTTATTTGTATTCGTATTTTTCATTTTAGTTTGGGTTTTCTTTCTATGGTTACTCATTGTTTATTTTGTTGAAGAATTTGAAGTTTAGAACTATCTGAAGAGGCTTCTGTTCCATTCAAACTTTTGATGATGATAAGAACAATAATAACAATAAGAATAATAGAACAGTGATTGTAGTAATAGTAGATACCAATCATTTCTCAGGCAATATTATTAGTACATTTTATTTTTTAATATCAGAAAAAAAATGTTTTATTGCTTTCGGCATAATCGCGGTTATTTGTTATATTTTATTCTTAAAACTCTTATGTGCATGTATATCCCACTTGCATTTATCTTTTAATGTCTTGTGCTTGACTCATTATATTATTTAATCTTAAGAAACATGCAAATGCTACATTGATACCATACTTGGTTTTAAGTTATAATTTTAGGTGATTACTGATGCTTCTACTATAATTTCTTCATCTACAGTTGTTAATTTTGAAATTTTGGCTAGTGATATAGAATGGCAAACTTTTTTTACTTTTTTCTTCTCCCCGTTGTACTCTGAGCACCCGCCTTGTGGGTTGCTGTTTTACCACCTCTAGTGGTTTTGTATTCAATTTCGTTCAATTTAACAGTTAATTAGTTTCAAAAAAAGAAAAAGAAAAAAAGATATAGAGTTGCAAACTGACTTCGTAAACAGTGAGCAGTTTTAGTTTATTGCAAATCCATTCTTTGCTCTTGATTTGATTGTCACTTTCGATGGTAAGTGATTGATTATGGATTTTGTATTTATTTTAATGTCATGGAGAGCTTTTCATTGCAAACTCACTACACTAGAGATTGGGGTTGGGGTCATGGTGGTAGTACCACTTGTGCGCTAGCCAAGGTCTAGGCTTCCATTTTCACCTAACTCATTCAAAAACCACTAACGATTTCAAAAAAAGGGTAGGGGCTCGTCATCCCCACTGAATTACCCAAAAAAAAAACAGAACTCCACTATTTTTTTTAAAGTATTTCATATACGTTCAGCTCACTAGGATTTGTATAATACTTATATACAATGAACTTTTGGAGTTTTTCGGAAATCCATTACGTGCCATTTGTTTTATATTCACTTGCTCAATAATTTGCTTGATGAATTCCTTTATTAGATTCTGATGAGAGTTTTTCTTGTGCGTTAGTGTACTCATTCACATTGTTTGCATTTTGTTCTGTGTTGATGAATTTGTAGGTCAAAAAAGTGCAGACTGTCTCTCCTCATTGGGACATTGTAGATGCCCCATGTGAATACGCTGAGATTTGTGGAGGATGCAAGACACAAAACCTCTTATATGATGCACAGGTTAGAGCTAAAGAGCAACAAGTCCATGAGTTGATGATTCATGTGGGAAGGTTTCCTATTAGAGTGCCAGAATTTGCAAATGTCGTAAAACCCATTGTTCCATGTGATATTCAGTTTCATTACAGGAATAAGGTTAGTATGATCATCAATTGATTATAATCCTTCTGTATGGTTTGATTAAAAAGCTCTTTTAAATTTGTTTCAGGGTACTAGGAGCCCAGAATAAGTAATAAATTATTTATTTTTATTTATTTTGCACTGCTTTCAGTCAATCAGTTTTGCAAAGTCATAAGCTGACAACCCCCCCCCCCCCCCCGGTCCCCAAAAGAAGAAACAGTTTTATGTTTCTAAACCATGGATTATGCTTTTGATTGATTACTGCTCGAAAAGCTAATCAGTTTTCTTTTTGGGTAGATCAGTAGGGATTACAAGCCCCTACCCGTTTTGGAAAGAGTCAATTTTTTTGAAAGTGTTAGATAGAAATGGGGGCCGTGACCTTTTACTGTGGCTCATGTGGGACTATCACCACGAACCCAGCCCCATTCTCGCTTGAAAAGCTGACCTGTTGAGGTATTGGTGTAAGTTGAAGGGAAATTGCTAACTATACTGAGAAGAGTCATCATATTTTCATTACTGAACACATTAAGGTGGTGGTAAGTAATAAAGATAAGGAGTAAAGCCAAAGAGTAAAGGGAGCTTAACATTCTCAAAATCCTTATGCATCAAGAAGGGGCATCCAGAATTATTTCAAGCAGTGATCTAAAACTTCGACTCTGGTCAGGGCTTGCTAGGGTCTCAAGCCCGAGTCAGTGGTTCGACTTGTTCGAAGTCTCCTAGTTTCTGTACAATTTAACACAGCAAGTCCGGTCAGACTCAGGTGAGTCTGATGGTTTTTCATTCAAAGCCGATACCCTGCTGGGTCTGAGTGACTTGGGCAAGTCTGAGCTCGAGTCACTGTGTTTTTAAAGGCTGGCTTTACAAATCGTATTGAACAATTGTATGAGTATTGGGGAACAAGTTGGTAAACTGCAAGGAACAGGAACACGAGTCAAGGACACTGTGTAATCAAGAAGCTGATAGTCAACCTCAATGTGCTTGGTCATTCATGGAAGACAGGGCTCATTGCTGTCATGTTGACTTGAAGACCATGATCAGATCGTAGAAAGAGGACCCAAGCAATCTGATCAGCAGTGTGAGCCGACCATAGCTTCTGAATCTGTTCTGGCACTTGAACAAGGAAGTATTTATTGTTTTTGCTTTTCCAAAGGGATGAGAGGATCTTCAACAAAAAAAAGCTATTTTTCCTTTTTGTTTTTGATAATACAAATCCATATCTTGTGGTGGAGCACGGACCAGATCGATCAAATGCCTCATTTAACTCAACTGGAGACATAAGTTTGTCACCAAGAGGTCACGATTTTGGAATAAAGAAGGTTATGTAAGAGGAATAGAGGTATCATGAATCCCAATCTCGAACTAAATGCCTAATTTGAATTGACCAAACCAACGAGTCACCATCAACTGGATCTCAGCATGAAAGACAGTGTGTGCCAAAAGTCTATTATCTTGTTGTACAATTAGTTTCATTGAACGGTTAACTGATTACTTTGTAGTTGCAGAAACTAGCAGGAGGCATGCTTAACACTGAGCTCCATTGGAGGATCAACAGTTGTATCATCTTTGATACGGGGTTGAACAATAAAATTTTGATTATAGTTTGTTGTGAAATCGAAAAACCTTGGATTAGAAAGCAACCAAGAAAGCAATTAGGATATCCATATTTGTTCATTATGAACACCAAAATTATGTCAACATAGAGTGATTCTCGAAGAACCCCTTCATAGCCTCCTGGCTGGTTCCCCTGATAATGTGCTCAAAGGTCACATTCTTATTGTCACAAATGCCAAAGATCTCACCGAATATCACAACCAACATCCACAGAATAGGACTCTTTGTGATCCCAACTTATGACGTTGATACAATTCCGTTCTATTACTTATCATCTCCTTAAATGGAAGTAACAGACCTGAAGACCTGTAAGCAATGAAGAAGCTCTGCTAATGTAAAACCACATATCCTCGATGTGTCTGATGGCTTCTAAACTTCCTGCCTCTGTCATCTTTAAAAATCACATCTGTACCCGCTGCTTCTTGCTTACCCCATGAACATTAATCAAAATTTAACTTCGTAGCACCCTCCACCAAAGCAAGCAAAGTTAGGCTATATAAGGCAGGACCTAATAAGGCCAAAATCTTCCGATCCTTGTCTAAGTCAATGGCCTTGAAACCCTCATAAGATCACCATATTCCTAATCCTCACCCTGAGAACCAACTTGTGCACCCTTTGATCCCTAAAAATATGAGCATTCTGCTTTTCCTAATTCACCAAATGGCCATAATGCTCAATTGCCAGATCACTCTGCCTGTAGGTGTGATTTCCATGAGAAACACCTCAATATAGGGCCCTCTAGTGTAGCTGGGTCACCCTTTGCTTGTCCAAGAGGTTAATAACATACACCCATATGGTCAAACCATACTATAGTGAATAAAAGGTGGCTTGCCATTTCCTCCTCAGCTTGCCATAAAATATACATATTGGGAATCTGCATACCACACCTTCCAAGGTGGTCAACCGTCAATGTACTTCCGGAGCACGCCAACCATCTAAACTCTGGGTGGAGCCTGGACACTTCAAGAAACCCTCAAATGAGATAAGTGGCCATCATCACCTAATATAATCTTATAAGAGGGAGTCTAGCAGTAGACCATCCTTGACTTTTCCAACTCCTCACCCACCAATCCACCCCTTGCACATAAATATCTTCCAATTCAGACAATAATCTTGCTAACTCTCCCATCTCATCATCTCGAAGATCCCTGCCAAGATCAAGCACCATGTCACCCGATCCCCCAACCTCTGAAAACAATCAATCACCCAGGCATTGGGTTACTAGCTAGTGTTCCAAAAAACGCTGGGCAGACCTAGGTTAAAAAGGGGGCAAATGGTGTCCAGTAATTGTGTTTTAGGTACATATTTTGTACAAAATATGCATAGTCATGCATTCTTTATAATCCAAACAAAAAAACCCAAAAAATACCCCACCCAATGGTATTTTTTCACCTAGTTGGGCACAGTCTTCTGGGCGCTCGCCCAGGTACCCTAGGCGCCTGCCTAGGCGGGTACTAGGCGGGCACCCCATCCAGTTCTGGGCGGTGTGCCTAGGCCCCCCATCCTGCCTAGGCGCTGGGTGGACCGCTTTTTGAATCAATGTTAGTAGCAATCCTCAATAGTGCCAGATATCTAGTCCCCAGTGCCTGCCTCATCCTCAATCACAAACCTAAAATTTCTAGAAAAGTGATCATACACTCCATAGTTTGCATGCCAAATTACTAAACCCTGAGGGTGCATTGGGAAAACAAGCATGGCTGTGATGTCCAGTATAAAAGGTCATGGCCTTAGATGATGTGGGAACAAACATGGCTGAATCATGATCACCTTCAACAAACCATTGCGTGATCACATGTGCACCAAACTTCTTAAACCGGCTCCAGTGGCCCCATTCGAGATTATAAGCTGCTTTCAGTAAGCAGAAGATGGAGGGTTCGTCTTAAGGTTGAATAATTTGAGGCTCTTCCGAGGTCTGTGGGTTTGTTTGAGTAGCTTGAGATTTAGTTCATGTGATGAGGGTGTTCAGGAACTTTTTCTTGGTCTGCTGATTATTATTAACAACACTCTCAATGGCATCAACTGGCTGCTTAGTGAATCTCTGTGTTCTTGGTGTATGGGTAGTATATGACATGAAAATTTTACATGGTTGCACCCAATAATCATACCACCCAACATAATGTGAATTGCAATTCTTATATTAATTACCCAACATAATGTGCATTGCGATTATTATATGGAAAAAGTTTATATAGGGTGTAGAATTGCAGATGCACCTCAAAAATCCATCGGAAAAGGTTGTTTTAATGTTAAAAAGTCTTCTAATTCATCATCTCGACATCGAGATATATGAATATGAAAAAAAAAGATTGAGTCCCAGAAATAGTTCATCTTGCAACACCTTATCTAGACCGTCCATTTTCAAGATTTTCATACGTTTATAGATCTACTTGATATTTAACTATTTTTGGAGTTTTAAAATTTTATAATTAGATATGAAAATAGATTTTGAGATAATCCTGAGAATGTTTTACACCAAAATTCCATGTTATGATAAAATTTGGAGGTGCGCCTTAATTGGATTGTTTCAGGTTGCAACCTTATAGAACCACACCCTTCTTATATTAATTCATGCACATCCACTTGTTTAATGGATTCAACAAATGAGTTTTTTTTATTGATATAATCATTTCAAATGTTAAATTGTTGAAACTTTGTGCAAGTTAACTGATTAAAAAAAAATGTTGAAATTCTGTGCCAAATTTTTATTGTATTTACCAAATTTTTGTGAATATTGTTTCTAGAGCATTATTGTTGCTCCATTCCAACTGCATAGAATTTTTTTTAATTATGTATGTTCTAATGCAAATAACTAGGAAATTTTTTTTTATTGCAGCATTCCAGTTCGTTACTAATGCCTGTGCTGTGCCAATGTCTGGTGACGATACTTTAACATTTTTTGATTCTATGTATGGGAAGGTTATCTGTCATTTTTGAGATTGGCTTGCAAGATTGCAAATAAGCCATGCTACTATTTTTATGTGGGGTGTTATCATAAGTTCCTTAAGGCATATTAATTTGGACATGTTAAAATTAAGTTGTACCTGGAACAAAGTGAATTAAAATTTTATAGTGTTGCTGCAGCTTAATAATAATACAATTTATTTATTTTTCTTGTTTTGCAGATGGAATTCTCATTTGGAACAAAGAAATGGCTCCCTCGAGCCCTTTTTCATGAGGAAGACAATTGCAATGGTAATGGCTATGCATTGGGACTGCATGCTCCAGGCTTTTTTGATAAGGTTCTTCATATTGAGAAATGCTTATTGCAAAGTGAAGCTGCCAATAAGGTACAAGGGATGTAATACTTGTCCAGCTAGGATGTCAAAGTAGTGATTCTAAACTAGAATTATTATCTTAAATTGCCTATCATATTCTAGGTTCTTTTTTATTATTTTCTTGTGAGTATAAGTAAAGTAAAGTATGCAAGCACGGAGTAAAACATAGCCTTTAACTTTAAATAATCTGATTATTTGTGATCAATGAGAAAGTGAAGATTATAAACTCTGTTTTCTAATGTTTTAAATAAATGCAGAGTTTGGGTTATACCTGGTCTACGCTGATTCCTCCCACATTGCTTCTTAAAACTGTTCAATTTCAGTGGAATATTGCACAAAGATCTACTGTGAGACTTTTGGACTTTCTCTGTAGCATTAATGAGTTGATGCATTGGAGCACATTAAAATTTCAGTTTTCTCTAAATCCCACAGAGGTACAATTAAACTAGATTTTCCATCGTTCCTACCAGTTGGGTGATGTGTCAGTCTGTAAAGACATATGACATCAGAACATTGAAAAAGTTCGAGTTTCTGCTGGATTTCTAGTGGTTAGAATGTTAGGTTATGAGCGCCACTCTCGATGGTCTTGATCTCACATCCAACTTACCGATGTGAAAAGAAAAAGAGAAGGGTAAATTTGTGCAATCCCAGATTCATATTCACTTAATTTTTAACCAGATCAATTCATGAATTGAACACATATAAACATGAAACGTGAAGATTCTGCTAATTGGAGTCGCAGATAATTTTTATGCTGAATTCCTGATAATGATGCTACTTTCTGCTCAACCTCAACAAATGCTATTATTAGATTGAGCTTTCTTCTCTAGCCTTCCCCACAATACAAAATTCGCTTCTATCATTATTGATTATTTCAAGCAGTGCTATCAGATTCACTTCGCTTGCGCTAATGTCTTCAGCTTCATCCCCTAGACCAAATTGAAGTAAATCATTTGGAAAGCATCATAAACATACCTGATGTGTTCCAAAATATTGGAAATATGCCTGGATTGTTCTAAATTTTTATGGAAAATATATCCAAAATATTGAAATATGTTTTTGAAAAATCTAATTGTACTTCAACTTTTTTTGGAATCTTTTTTTTTATATATGCACCCCAAGACTTCCCTCAAATTGGCCAATGAGCCAATCTACTTCCCTTTCCTGGTCAAAATGAAGAGCTCTACTAAGAAATCTGATAGAATTGGTTTGAATACTTGAATTCCAATCAAATCTGCTGATAATGAGGTTATCTTGTACCTATATGCTTATGATTATGCTTTGAAAGTTTGATTTTTTTCTTATGGCCAGATGTTTTATTGTGTGATCAGAACTAGGTTGAAACTCCTGATCTGGCATACTGATTTTAGATGGCCTTTTGTCTTAATCATAACCCCATCATTTCTGTGGTACTTTTTCTTATTCATAGGTTGCCATTTAAAACCACTGTAACTAGACTTGAATGTTATTGTGAGTCCCAAATATGCACCACTTTTGGAACTTGTAATTGAACCTGAGTGACCATTCTGGTCTGAATTTCACTTACCTGGGTGCTGGCATCAAGTATACCTAGGCTTGCTGTATAATATCCAGCTTTAAATAAGATCCAAGTGGAACATCAGTTCCCCATTTCATAGCTTTCACCACCTCCCAATACTTTTAGTCCTCACTTTGGTGATTCTAATATCAGTCTTTGCTAGATTCACTTTTTGATAAAGAACTTGTGTTATAGTTGGGGACATCTTTGTCCGCATTCAATGCAAACATCACTTGTGTTATTGTTGTGGACATGTGTGTCCGCATTCAATGCAAACATCCACATCGGAAACAACACCCTGAAATTGGCCTTGCTGACATGATACATTTGCATGTCATTTGATCGAGTAAAGGCAGGCCTTATTAAGTAACTTTTTTTACCTAGTGACATTCCAAAGAAAGGGTAAGTAGAATCATCATATGCATGTTGTGTCACTGGTGTGTTGACCTGTACAAAGAACCAGGCACATCTGTCTAAGTTACATAGTCAACCAAACTCAAAGCATTTCAAACATAAAATGAAATGTTACCCTTCTTCCACTTATTGGCAACTAAAGATGATTGTGTCATCCGATATCCACGTAGATACATTTGCATGTCATTTGATAGAAGAAAGGGAGGCCTTATCATGTAACTTTTGTTTCCTAGTGACATTCCAAGGAAAGGATAAGTAGAAGCATCAGACGCACATTGTGTCACTGGTGTGTAACATCTGTCCAAGTTACATAGTCAGCCAAACTCAAAGCATTTCAGACATAAAATGGAATGTTACCCTTCTTCCACTGATTGGCAACTAAAGATGATTGTGTCATCTAGATATCCACGTATTGCATTTGTGAGATAGGCTGCATCCTAGGATAAAGATGAAAGGCTTATATTTATCAAAAATCTGATCACCTGTGTTATAGTTTCTTGTCTCTTCTTGTCTATTTCACCTCTATGTCGATTGCTATTATAGTTACCATTATTATTGCTATTATCATTAATATTTTTGTGGGGAGCTGCAGTCATGAACGGAAGATGTAATTGACAGTGAAGTGGTTTTGGGTTTCAAAATGCACACAATTGTTTTTGTAATGCCTGCATTATTTATTTATTTATTTTTTCTGTTTTTAGTGATATGGCATCATATATATCCTTACAAGGTTGCGATCCTTTGTGCAAGGATATATATTTTCATGTTGGGCATGATTACTTCTACCATACCTCCTATATTTTGAAAGCACTGAGTTTGTTTAGGATCATCTTCCCGCATTGTCAATCCTTGTTCAAGTCTTGATGACTTGATACTAAGAATTCTGTTTACATGGATGCACATTCCTTTTTCTACTAGGACTTGGCAATCTCTTTCATGCTTGATTAGCAAATTTGCTTGAATGCCATTAATTGCTCAAACACATGGCCATGCATTTTAATATTGATTCTACTTGCTTCGTGTTAGGTTCTTGCAACAATTCAGGAATCTTGGCGAGATCCTCTTCTAGGGCTTACACCCTATGATGTCCATACACATAAAGGGTTTCTTAAACATCTCATGATAAGATTAGGCAGGTTAGTGGGTTGAGAACCATTTAATGGAAGTCTTTATTAACATTTTGGCTTTCTCTGGAATTGAGTTACTTGTGGCCGATATATTTAATCTGCATATTCCCATGTATGAATTGTCACTTTTGTATAAGCGTGTCATGTGTGAATGATTGATTTTATTCCGAATGAGGTTTATGATATGGACAATAGGGAATGACTAATGTGCATCAAAACTAGTATGATAACTCAGTCTACCAATCGATAGTTTGATACTATAGTTGTCAAAACATCACATGATATGGTTACTAGCATCCTTGTGAACCAAAGGGGCACATGTGGATCCCTAACCATGAGTCTCATATGGTCTCAATCATGAGACGTGCAACTTAGATAGGCTTATTGTCACCCTAGCATGTGGCAGATTGCTCTTAATGTGCTTCTCTCTGACACTGGCCTCAAAGATCCTTACATCAGTAGCATATGAATTGGGTATTGTCGTATTGATTGGGTCTAGGTTTAGGGTGTAATGGAGGTCACGAGTTGATAACAAAAAAATGAGACCACAAGCATAACATGATCCATCTGTAATGCTATCACTTACCATTGTGCATGGCATGTTAAAATGATGCCTCGAGATGCTGACATGCCATGTTATGTTATCACTTTAAGATCTTGTTGGTGGGGAACTTAGAAGTTGGGTAAAGCTGCATTCTTCTCCGCTTGAAAAGTTAAAGTTGGGTAGGGCTGCATTCTTCTCGGCTTCACCTCTCAATTTTTCAGTGCTCTCTCCCCTATGATTGAATTTCTTGATTTGGTTGCTAAAATCCAAGCATTGAATGGCCCTGCCTAGGGGCTGTGAGAGGAAGCAATGGCTGGGCCAAGTCTGACAGGGAAGAGTGAAAACAGACTGCCAGCAACATCCTTAACAAAGGCCAGAATCCTACCTCCAACTCCGTGACTTTTACCATTAACGCCATTACAATGGATATTTCTCATCCTATCACCTACCTCATCAGCCTTACTATCCCATCCTGTATACAGCTTGGTTAAGCCCTTGCCCGCATAGCCTGACCACATATAAACCCAACTCATTTTCTGAAAACGGCCTCTCACCCTTATTGTCAAAAACTCTATCAGTAGTACCTCCAACCTGAATGCCCAATACAAACCCTAAAAAAGAACAAACTCAGTATCACCAAGGACTTCAAATACCCAACCTTGATCACACCCCCATTTCAAAAACAAGGATGTAACACTAGCTATAAGAACAGTAAGCCGGCCATTATGGTAGAGGCATCCATCTTTGGGGAGATAGTTTCTTCTCAGATCTACCAGTGCTTCCAGAGGATGGCACTTGCCAACTCAAATTTCCTATTGATTTCTGGACAACAGAGACATCATCTTCTCTTTTCCATCTGAGGTATTTGCCAATCATGTTCTCTCTTGTGGAGCTTGTGGCTTAAGAGGCACCATGATAATCCTCCATAGATGGAACCTGGAGATTTCAAGCTTCTTGAAATAATGCAAGCAGATTTGGATCAAAGCCTCTGGTATTTCATTGCGTGCCTGGAATATAGGTGGTAGGAAATGCTTGCTGTCAAACAGTTAAGTTTGAGTGTTTGACTGGGAGTCCATAGGAGGAGATTGGTTTGGGGATGTCTGGATAATCTATTGAGATCTGGCGTGGTTTTCATTTGTGCAAAAAAAAATCCTAGATTACAGCTCTACTGAGGGAGTTGTATACATTTATCCAAAACAATCCCCAAAATCCAAGTGGAAGATATTTTTACTTGCTTTTAGACAGAGGGAAAGATGTGGCTCCTTTTTTATGGTTCTTCAAGAGAAAGATCAATGGTCCTCTTTTGCTATTTTTACATTTAGAGAGAGGTTCTGCGTAGATAAGCCATTTAATTCCTTGTTTCCTGTTGTTCTTATGGCTTGCATGTGGAAGGGGAAGAAATCCATTAGTAAAAAGGGAAGGTGGGGTGGAGGAAAATAGATTTGATGAGGGAGGAGCGGGGAAAGAATAGGGTCGCAAGCATCCCAAATGAGGATGGGGGGAAGGGACCCACTGAGGAATTGATTTTAAGAAAAAATTCAATTTTATCCATGTCATAACTGCCCCCATGATTATAAGATGAAGGTCAATTATGTCTTTTGCTCATGGTGAAGGATAAGAGCTAGCACCAAATATAATGTATGTTAGTATGCCCATATTAAAAATCTAAATTAATAGGCGTGGCTTGTCCCATCCTGAATAAACCTTAGTCTGGTGGTGTTGGCCCTGGCCCGAGGCCGGTTCCGCTTCAGGGCCGGGCATTAGTGGTTTGTGCTGGTTTTGAGCTTGTCCAGCGAGTCCTGATTAGTAATTGGGCAACGGGCCAAGCTGGCCCAATAACTTAATAAGGCTGACCCGGGTTGGGGCTGAAACCAACCCTACAACGAATGTCTGAGGTTTAGGATCTATTAAATCTTAATTCAAAGAGATATTTTGCTAAACTGGTGCAGGAGCATATTAGTAGAGAACTGTTTTAAGACTAATTTGAGGTTGTTTTGACTTGTTTGGGTAAGTTGTTAGGTTAGGAGATGTTTCCTATTTCAAATAGTGGCTGGACACTAATTTTATATTTCTGTTATAGGAGTTTTTTGGGGGTTTATGCTACCTGAATTCAGACTGTTTTTTAGTTAGATAATGAATTGTTCAGGTTCATCATCCAGATGACTTGTTTAGGGTTGTTATGGGTGGATATATATGCCATTTGGCGGAAGTCACAACAGTCCTTTTGTTGCATGATTTTTCTCTTTGAGGTTTTGGGCTGATTTCTCCATTGGAGACACTCCCTATTTCTTACTTGATGTTCTTTCTCTTGTTCTATTTTGTTTCGTTAGGATTGTGCACTTGTGTCTACTAAACAACTAGATGAGACATGGATTCCTAGCTGCAAGGCAAATCATCAGGTCATTACTAGATGAATATTCATTTTTTAGTTATTGTTATAATGAGTTGGTTGAAGGAAGATTATTTTAATGAGAGGATGGTGATTATTTGAATGAGAGAATGGTGCTTAGGGACTTGAGCCAAGTGGAAGCTGGGCAAGGTCTTTTCACTAAGCAAAAGTAAATGAGTTTGACTATCTTGGGTTGCCTTTTCGTGTGGAAACCTCTAGCTGTGCGTCATGGGATGCAATTGCGCCCCATATTAGATGAATATTTACATCGATATGTCTGTATATACTATATATTCATGATGAATCCCTGCATTGTAATTAATCAATCAGTTTTGATGAGAATCATTCTTATTCTTTCTCTTTGGGAGGGTTTCTCATATTCTAACATTTTGTCAGACCTAGACTTGAAATCATCCAAAAGCTTAATATCCATGGGCCAGTGTAGAGAGAGAGACAGAGGGGAGGGGATCTCTGAATCTTTTTTGGGGGGTTCCATTGGATTTCAGTAAAGACTGATTCAATAAAGATATAAATTCCTTTGTTTTTCTTCATTGGATTAGTTTTATCTTTAATGGGAATAGTAGGGTGCCAAGTGAACAAAGACAATCAAAAGTAGCGGTTGGTAAATAAATCAGGGGTTGAGATAGTCTTGTGCGGTGGACACGCATGCATTTAAGACAATTAGTTGGCAGTAGATATATACATCTCTGGAATACTCCCTGGCTCCTAGGGGGATCAGCTTTGACCAATGATAGATCACAATTATGTGTTCAAAATTTTAAGTTTGAACCATAATTTGGCGATTCTCATGAATCTGTGAATCATAATTCCATGAAACTTGTCAGGGACATGTACACATTAACCTACTTCGATAACTAAATTATTCCTGGAAAACATATTTTTGATCTTTTGTCTCATGGTGCGGACTGTACATACTTTATCAGCAGACCTGTTTTTTTTTTCTTTAAAATTCTTTTTTAGTTTAAGCTTCCTAGATGCTTTGGTTTTCTACATTGTGTACAATCGTCATCTGCTGGAAGGCATGCCTAAAAGAGCCTATGCAAACTTCATAGCGAAAGAATGAATGGTTTATTTTGTATAAAATATTATCTTCCAGTTTCTTGCTCAAAATTTGAAAATCTCTTCTGAATGCATCAACCCTTCCTGAAGGTAAGAATGTAGGCGGTGATTTTTGAAGAAGGTTTCTTCAAAATAAATTTTTTTTAAGAAGGTTCTTTTCCCATAATTCAATATAGAAGTATGAAGAGTCCACGTGGTCCCTGATTTGCGTAATGGAAGCCGCAGTGTTATCTGTTCCTCAAAACTTTCTTGGCTAACAAAAAATTTAAAGGAATGAACAACATGTCACGATTGCAAAGGTGAGAGAGCTATATATATTTGGGTACTGATTGATGAAGATTGTACTGCCTCAAGAATTTGATGGAATGAATGTTGGCTTCATGGTAGTAGATGGTTTTCGAGTAGAAATTTGCTTTTAGCACTTATCACTAATTGTTCTTCTGTTTACATGTGTTGAAAATTTGTGTTTTCCCACCCCACTTACACAGTTTCATGCAATTTGTTTGATTGTATTTTTCTTCTTTACATTTCTCATTTTGATTTCCTGAGGATGATGCTTTTTCCACTAATATTGATGCTTTCATAGTTTGAACCTGCTGTTTTATTTGAGTCGGAAGTGTATTTTGTTGTTCGAAACCTTCAATGTTTTTTGGGTGGTGATGTATAATTTGTTCAGGTTCATTCAGACAATGAAATACATCATTCAATGGTCATTTTCTCAGGGATGTCAAGACTGGATTGCCAGAGCTTATGGTGAATTTTGTGACCTCATCCTACAATCCGGATTTATTGCGACCTCTTATCCAGAAGTTAACAACTATTCCTGAAATGGTATTTTTCATTGTTAATAATTCACAGGATCACTCTGAGTTGTTTTGTGTTGCAAATCTTTCCTACATAATACATATGAGGTTATTCAGTTATTATTGTGCAGCCAACAAGTTGGTAACATTCAGTCAATGCTTTCATTGTTATATGTTGTCGATGTTTTCATGTGGTCCCCTAGAGCCTGCTCCTTATAAGTAAATCTGCAGTATATTTCTGTTTTGACCGACATCTGTTCCTTGACATTTATCTATGGGGAAAGCTTTCTATGCTCCCCCTAGAGCATAGAAGTTCTATCCTCCCCTTACCATCCAGCCGTCCATTTTTTATCAAAAGAGCCACTCACCGTTTAATCTTAGATCCGACGTCTCAAAGTATTTTATTTTTAATTTTTTTAATATAAATTTTCTGAATGTGAAATTTGGTACGTGCCGTCTTCTCATTGGGGTGTACCTATGAAAAATATTAACAATAATTTTTTGATAAAAAATAATGACCAAAATACCCCTAAAAATGTTTGGGGGTATTTTGGTCATTTTATATTATTCAAAATATTTTTTTTTTTATATTCTTCGTTGGTGCGAGTTTAATAGAGGAATAGACGTCCAAAATTTGCTATCAAAATAGTTTATAGAAAAAAAATTAAAAATAAAATAGTGTAGAGACGTGACATTGTGATTGGGGCAATCCTAGCAAAAATGGACGGTTGGATAAGGGGGAGGATAGAACTTCTATGCTGTGGGGGAAGCATAGAAGCTTTCCCTTATCTATGATGGGCATATGCATCCTGTTTTGTTATCTGATGTTAGGTTCTTTGCTTCTTTCCCGCGACTTTGGTTTAATCTGAAGATAGTTGTCTAATTGGAGTTCTCGAACAAATGCAGCTTGAAATGACAACCTTTAGTGACTGTATTGAAGAGTACAGGATCAAATACAACTTTGAACCTCAAAAAGTTACCTAGACTAGGGTGAGGTTTGTATAAGGTGTCAACCTTAAACAATAACGGTAAGGTGCACCTCAAAATCTCATTAAAAGATGTATTTTCGTACAAAACCCTTGTCATGGCTTAAAAGTCTACTTTCCAATCCTATAATGAAATTGAAAGATCCAGAAATGATACAAATCTAGCAAATCTATAAGCACTTGGAAATCTTGAAAACGGACGGTCTAAATAATGTGTGACAAGATACACTATTTTTAGGACTTGAAATTCATTTTTTCTTTCATATCTATATATATCTACGTCAAGATGATCAATTAGAGAATTTTCAAGTGACAATAGTTTTTTTCGATGGGTTTTTTAGGTGCACCTTACCTGTACAATATAAGGTTGAGACCTTATATAAACTTTTTCCGTATAAGAATGTGAGGGCAGAAGCAACTTTTATTCAAGTAGCCTTGGAGTGACTATACATGTCAATTTGATTGTGGTAAAGTCTTGGATTAGCAATATTAAACAGATTACTGGTACTGGACTTCTCATAGCATGTGGGTCACAGATGGCTTGGAGGTATCTCCGCTTAGGGCCTGTCCTTTCCTGTGATTCTTTTTTCGTTTTCTTTTGAGATATTTATTGTTGTAAGCATTTGCAGGTCATGCATATCGAGAGCTTGTGTGTGTTTGCAAGTGCACGTGTGTGTGCACGCTATGAGCCGACTGGCCTATAATGTAGTATAAGCCTGACAGACAAGATCGAAGGAGAAAGAGATCTACATGTTCATAAAATTAGGATTTGTAAGAAAAGTAGGGGTCTGATGGGCGCCAAATTTTGTGCATGAGTAGGTCTAATCTAGTTGCTCAAAAAAAAATAAAAAATGAAAAAATAGGAGTTCAATAAAAAATTTGGGTAAAATGAGTCTGCCATTCTTGTCCGTTCATTTCATCTCTTCTACTTCAGTCCTACCTTCAACCTATTCTATGCTATAGGCTGGTGGGCCCATAGAATCATTTCTTTTGTGTGTGTGTGCATGTGTGCGGGCGTGCTCCTATGTGTATGTGTATGTGTATGTGTGTGTGTGCATGTGTTTTAGACTATTCAAAGATGTCTGCATCATATGTATGTATGTATGATCATTAAAGATGTCTGCGTGGACAGCATATTCACGTACTTGATGCTAATATGTCTTGTTTGCAAGTTTTAGGATGTGGGGTGCTGGTCTGACACATTGACACATTTTTATATTGTGGCAATAGCCCATGGTTGACATTGGTTTGTGCTCTATAATGATTTTTTTTCTTTTTGAAATGTTGACAATTGTATTAACCATAAAAGAGGAGTTACAATGCTGAGATAGTACAAGAGCACTCTGGAGGATGGGACTCTTAGCCAAAAAGAAAAGGCCCTCAGGCCCTATACAAAATGGGGCTATAGGTTCGTCCCTTTACAAAATATAGAAAGATGGGGTTATAAATAAGTCCCCTTACAAGGTCTGCTATAAATTTACAGAGAGAGCAAAAGTTATGCTATACTGCGTGTGGCCCACGGGATGCAAGAGAGGTGTTGTGAACCTAGTCTTCCTCATGGGCTTTGGCTCCGTCCTTTGCCAGGAGGTTCGCGAAGGCGTTTGGCGTCCTCAACATATGCATCCATGAGACGGGCGTATCCCTGCATATAAGTTCAATCTCGTCATACAAAGGCATAAGTTACCATGGAGGGGGAGCTTGCCTGGAGGTCTAGGTGATGATATTTTGGGCGTCTTCCTCCACTATCAGATGTCCCCAAGATCTAGAGGATTCTTGTTGTACAACCACTATTTGTCACTAAGACTGAGGGATGTGGTTTATGCCCAGGGATTAGGAGGTGCAGTTTGGAAAATTGAAGTTGATCAGCCCTAAGATCAGAACGAAGATAATTGGAACACTATCTCTATGAATGTTTTTGTATTCCCATCTTTGGATCAACCACATTTCTCCAGAAAGAAGCTAGTCGTGGACACAGAAATTTTCAGGTCATTTAGGAGCCAATATCTTAAACTGCTAAAGCCTAGTCTAGTCTATTGGACAAGGATAGAAGTGGTTCCTATATGGATCTTGTTGCTTCCTTACTAGAACTACATACTTTTCTATTGAAGGACGTGTGGTGTGCAATAACCGATACCCACATTTCAGTATATGTTTAATCATACGACCAAGAAATCATACAACAAGGAGCAAGGAGGATAAATAAAAGAAAAGAAAAAGGAGGACGACATCGAACAAGATAATGTTTAGGAAAATCAAAACATATAGGGACCATTTAAAGCTTTAACCATCAAGCCAGATGCCCGACTCCCAAAAAACAAAAAACAACTTTGACTGGATAATTCTGAACACGACATCTACCAAAAATAAGATGGTTAATTACTATTTACTATTGAATTGTTTTCTCTTGCACACAAAACTTGACATAAGATTCTATGGAAATTTTGGAATTTTCTGATCCAATTTCAGGTAATTTATTTTCTTACTAGAGAATGTGAAATTAGTTATTTTGTTAAAATTATCAAAGAAGAAAGAAATGACATTTTTCTCGAGAGTTTTTTTGTCATACCAATGTATACTTGATGACAAAAGGTTCATACTGAATGGGTTAAATGTATGATCTAGTTTTTCTTTGATCTGGCAAAGATTATTCTTTTGTTGCTAACAATCATTTTCTTGATGATAGGCATGCATCATTAACAATGTAAATACTTCTGTTGGTAACACATCTGTTGGGGAGGAAGAGCATATTTTATATGGTAAATCCACAATTACTGAGGTTCTTAGAGGGCTTACCTTTCAAATATCAGCCAACTCTTTCTTCCAGACTAACACTCACCAGGTAAACTGTTACAGAGTATAACGCTCATTATGTGTTAATGCTTAATAGGACTTTTATTAACAATTGCACGTGGATACCAATCTGCAAGAGTTGGGTGGTTTGAGCTTGACTTTTCTTCAAACATGTTGCTGATGTTTTCAGTTTTCTCTTTAATCTTGAATTGGACATGGGCTATCGAAAGAGAACACTTTTAGATCCATAAAAATAGCTGTTCAATATACTTCATTTATCATTTCCCATGTCTGCACAAAAATGAAAATATTAATGCCCTGGAGTTGTGCATCATATCATGAAATTTCTTATTCAGTTTGAGATCTTTAAATAGTCTCAATTTCCTTACTGACGAAGAGGTAAACCATAGATTCCATTCTGTTTGTGGAAATTTCTTTAAACGTGTTGCTCTCTATCTGTATTCACAACTGTGTTGTATTTTGTTATTCTTGCTGCTGGATCTGCAATCTGCCTGTACCTATGAGGGTGCCCTCCAGTGAAATCAGCCGGCTCAGAATTTGAGAAGAAAATAGAAATATAAGGGAAATGGAAGAGACTGGGACCATATCCAGTTCTAATAAGACCTAGCATAGTTATTGATTTAGGGTTCATAAAACATTTTCTGCTGTGGCAACCAGCCATTGCAGGAATTGTCCCTAGTTCCATGCAGTCAGGTCCAAAGTTCACAATTCTTCTTACTTAAACATCAAAAGTTATGATAGCAACAATGAATCGAGCTTTCCAATAAGGACCACAAGAGTAGCGATATGTTACAAGAGTTTTAACGTTACAATAGTTTCACCTAAAATTGATTAGACCTCTAGTGTCAGCCTTTGAATCAGCCAATGTTCTTTCGGGCATGGGATTCTTCTCCATTGTTTTGATACACACACAAAAAAGAAGAAGAGGAAAAACAAAATCTTTTACTTACCATGACTACTCCTTTACAAATGACCAAGATTACCCCACAAAGTTATTAATTTTAAAGGTGCCATTTTGTTTATTTTGGTACTTTTTTTGCTTGGGTTTCTTTTGACATGCGTTAGACAAAACATGGCCCCATATCAACTTTTTAGGAAAAATAAGCTGTGTAAAATGACATGGGTGGGAGGCAGGAGCCATGATACACTTATCTCATCTCTCCTTATTCTTGTTCTTGGGTGCCTTAGCAATAGGGTTGCCCTGCAAGGAACACCCTAAAACAAGCCTTGCGAAGCCATGTTGACTTTCTCTCTCTCACTCTTCCCTCATCTCCTTTCACTACATCGATTGCAAGGTGCTTGTATGTTGCAGAGTTGATCAACCTAAGCATGGACCAAATCATAGCTTCTTTTGTTGTTTGTGCCTCTTTCTCCAAACTTGATTTGGTGCACGGTCGATTTCATGAGTGTTCCATCCTTTTATTTTACTTATTCTATGTGACAGAAACATAGCAAGAAATGTGGAAGTGTAGATTGAGTCATTCTTGCGTACTTTGTGTAAGCCCTCAGAGGCTAGATGCATGCTTCTTTTGGTTATGTTATGTACTCAATAGTCTATGCATGTGAAGTGTTTGGTCATATTTCTAATCGGGATTTTGAGCTAGTTTTTTCCTTGCACATTTTATTTTTCCTATCCCTCTTGTAGTAACCATCTCTCCAACAATCTAACATTGTGAACTTGGTGAACATCTCTTCATCTTGATGTTCATCATCGATAATCATACGCCTCTTCTATACTTGACTTACTACTAGCTCAATGCTTTTTTTTTTGAGTTGAGCAAGCCAATATCTTTACTGCTTCATTTCAATCGTGTCGTATTTTTTTTTTTTGGGTTGCTAACTCTATAGTAGAGTACTCGGCTTTTAAGTGCGACTATGATCTTTTACGCATTTGGATGAAGCAACAGATTCATCCATGCCGTTGGTAGGGTTTGTAAGACCACAGTTGATCTTGAAAGGGGATGAATGGAAAAAAGAGCATGTTGTGTCCAATGTAGGTATCTTAAATTTCTGCATGGTATTACGAATTCCCCAAGGTGTTGTGCCATTTTTAGTAGCCATCTTTACCATGTTGACCAAATTCCCCTAGACATACGAGACCAATGTTTCAAAAAGCGGCCCACCTAATGCTTAGGCAGTTCAGGGGAGGTGCTTTGCCCAGGCCTAGGTGGGCATCTTGGGCAGGGAGTCCCTAGGCGGTCGCCTACGCTCCTGGGACCCCGCTTAGGCTGGGCAGCTGCTTAGGGCCTGCGCCCCACCCAGGGGGAGAAAATGGCCCTTGTTGAGGGGCATTTTTCATCTTTTTTATGCCTAAATAAGGGGAAAAAGGGGTGTTTATGTTATTGTGTGACCTAAACCCTTTTGTTTACCTTTAGAGTAGAAAAATATTTTAAAATAATCACTTTTTTACATTTCTAAGAGCTTGATTGGGTATTTCAGAGTTTTAAAAAATCGATCCAAACATCGTCTTTTTGGTTTGGATGTGATTTTAATGATTTTTGAAGCTTATTAGATGATTTTTGGAAGTTATTTGAGATTGTGAAACATCTCAAACATTGAAGATTGAAGTTCGAGTAAAAATGTTAGTTAAAAATCTTCATATTTGGGATTTTATTTGTTATTTTAATGCCTTTTTCGGGTTCTTTTGGAAGTGGTGATCCGGGTTGGAAGTATGATTATAACCAAAATCCAAATGGCAAAAATCGTATAAGATGTAATTATTGCAAAAAAGATACTAATGGGGGTATAAACCAGTTCAAAAAATACCTTAGCGGTATTAGGGGGAATGTTACCCCTTGTAAAATTGTTCCTAAAGCTATCAGAGAGGAGATTAAGCAATATATGAGTGCGGTAAAACACAAACAGGAACAAAAGCCTTGTGATTTGGATAATTTATTTCAGGTTCTTCTAGAAGGGGTGATCCAGGTCGTAAGTATGGTTATAACCCGAAACCAAATGGTAAAAATTGTATAAGGTGTATTTTTTGTGAAAAATATACCCATGGGGGTATTAACCAATTCAAGAAACACCTAGCTAGCATTAAAGGGAATGTTGCTTCTTATAAAAAGGTTCATGAAGATATTAGGGATGAGATTAAACAATATTTGAATTTAGTAAAATCAAAAAAGGAAGAAAATGAGCCTTGTTATATGGAAATATCTTCTCCCGGTTCTTCTAGAAGTGGTGATCTGGGTTAGAAGTATAGTCATAACCCAAATCTAAATGACAAAAACTGTATAATGTGTAATTATTGCTGAAAGGATACTAATGGGGGTATTTACCAGTTCAAGAAACAACTTTCCGGTATTAAGGGGGGTATTGTTCTGTATAAAAATATTCCTGAGGTCACCAAGGAGGAGATTAAGCAATATTTGAGTTTAGTAAAACACAAAAAGCAAGACAAGGGTAAAGAGGCACCAAGTAGAGCAGCTAAGACTCATAGGGCTTTATCTACACAAAGTAAGAGGGGAGTAGAAGAAGATGAGGAAGAGGCACATTCAAAAGAAACGGAGGAGCACGAGCATTATGTTGAAGAGGGAGATGACTCTAATAATGATGACCTCAATTTCGATGCATTTGATGAGGCTTACCCTAGTTTTTCTAATGATGATTGAAGACACTTGACTCTTCGTGTTGAGTCTTAGATTGTATATTTTCTTTTTCTTATTTTCTAGTTTCTACCGATCTACTCTTATTGTATGGTTGTATTATTGTGTGGAACTGTGGATTATGGCATGATATGAACTATGGAGCATGGAGTATGAATTATGGATTGTACCTGTATTACTAATTTACTGATTACTATTATATTTTATTTTTGATTGTGCTAGTAGTCTATCTATTACAAATTTACAAGGGTTTGGAACTTTTTGGATTATAGGATTTTTAATATTTTATGATGTATACTTATATTCCCCTGCCTCGTGCCCCTCTTCTTGAACCCAGAACCTGGGCGGCTTCCTCGCCCGGTGTTTTTTGGAACATTGTACTAGACCATAAAACCAAGAGTTATGTAGAATTTGGTTCACTCTTGTTTTTCTTGGTGGGCCCTCTAAAACTTTCATATTCCACCTTAATGTCAGTTCACTAATCAATGATTCTATTTAGGTTATGTAGAATAAACCTCACAAAATCTTCTTAATTTTGTGAACCCTTTTATGCAACTCCATCCGTTTGACATGTAGTTCTAGGTTGTTCTTACGGAAACTTTACCTATTTTTTCTTAGTGTTCCTTACATTTCTTCTAGGTCTCTGGTATGTTTGATTGCATCCAAATATCTGAATATTTCAGAATTTTAAGTGATCATAAGAGTTTGAATGCTGAAAGAGAAAATACACATTTGATACGTCAAAATTGTATCCTCAAATATTAAGATAAAGACCTCAAATCTGTATTCTCTAAAATTCAAGTAACACTTGAATTTTGCAGGATTCATCTTGCCTGTCAACAATAACATGCGGTTCCTGTATTCTCCCTAAGTCCGTAAAGGAAAATAAACAATCTCTCTCTCTCTCTCTCTCTCTTCAAAAGCTCTTCATTCACTAGTTTTTATTGCTCCTCCATCTTCCATCTCTCTCGTTAATGGCTTCATAAAGGAAAATAAAGATTCTCTCTCTCTCTCTCTCTCTCTCTCTTTCTCTCTCTCTTCAAAAGCTATACATTCACTACTTTTTCTTGCTCCTTCCTCTTCCATCACTCTCGTTAATGGCTTCAAGGCTTTACTGGTTTTAAGCCTTTTTCCATCCTAAGAATCCATGGATATCGAACAAAAACAGGCGTAGTTCATAGAGTATTTTGTGAAGAAGGCAGAGAGAGTCTCAAAGCAAATTCTCTAGTTAATGTCATCATAGAGGCCACTTCTCATCCATCGCTCTTTGCCTTCTCTGAAATCGTTTCTATTCCCAACATTTCTGAGTATCAATATCTTTGCGGTTGATTGGGTTGAGAGAGAGAGAGAGAGAGAGAGAGAGAGAGAGAGAGAGAGAGAGAGAGAGAGAGAGAGAGAGAGAGAGAGAGAGTAGTAGAGTAGAGTAGAGTAGTAGTAGTAGTAGTAGTAGTAGTAGTAGTAGTAGTAGTAGTAGTAGTAGTAGT